CTGCTTCTCCCTCTGACCCTCCTCCCTCTCATGCTCTCTGTCTCTCATTCTCTCTCTCGCAAATAAATAAAAAAAAAGTTAAAAAAAAAAAAAAGATTCTCTCTCTTCCTCCCCCTCCCCAACCTCCCCCCCCACTCTCTCTCTCTCTCAAAAAAAAAGAAAATAAAAGATCCATTAAACAAAATAGTTAGCTCAGAAACAGATCTTTTATAAAATAATGATAAGTATACAACAAAGATGGTATTACACATCAGGACAGAGGAAAAAAGATTATTCAGTAAATGGTGTAACAAAGAAAATGTTAAGTTCTCATCTCATGGCATATGCCAAAATAAATTCTAGAACAGCATAAAATATAAAAAGCCCTTTCTTTTTTTCATTTAAATTCAATTAATTAACATATAATGTATTATTGGTTTCTGAGGTAGAGGTCAGTGATTCCTCAGTCTTTCAGAATACCCAGTGCTCATCACATTACGTGCCCCCCTTAATGTCTATCACCCAATTACCCCATCCCCCACCGACCTCACCTCCAGCAACCCTCAGTTTGTTTCCTGTGATTAAGGAGTCTCTTATGGTTTGTCTCCCTCTCTGATTTCATCTTGTTTTACTTAATAAAAACCCTTTATATTTGTTTAAAGGTTAGTATTTATTAACTAAAGCATTGGAATACAATGTACTAGTAAAAGACACCAAATTTGCCTAAGTAAACTTTATCTTAGAAGAAAGCTCCAGGAAGGCAAAGATCCTGGAGGTCTGACTCATCACTAACCTCTGTGATCTACAGGAGATCTAGCCAGTGTGTGTGTTCAAATAAATCCTTACAGGATGTATGAAAACAACTGTTTCTATTTTTTGTAAAAGCAGCACCACTATCGTTTTCTTAAATGACAAACTGGGAAAAATATTTGTCATGTATATGTAAAGATTAATATCCTCTTATTAAAAGTTCATGCAAATCATAAGAAACTTCATTAATACCCATTAGATGGACCCGTATATGGACAAGCTATTCACAACAGAGGGAATACAAAGATTAATGAACATTTGGAAAAAGTTAATATGAATAACAAAGGATTGCATGTTATCTGTCAAATTACAGGATTTTTAAAAATAAATATGTATATTCAATGCTGGTTTGGGTGTAAGTGTAATAGGTCAGCTCATACGGTTTGGGGGGAGTTAACACAAACCTTTTAGAAAAGTAATTTTGCATTCTAAATCCACAGCCTTAAAAATACTACTTTTGACCCTGCAATTACTTTTCAGAAAATGAACCTTAAAAAAATTATCTGCTGCAAAGAAAGAAGAAACTTTATTTTAAAAGTTCATCATAGGATTAAATATGGTAGTGAAAAATCGGTAACTATATGTCCAACAGTAGGAGAATGGATTTTAAATTATGATAGCCACACAATGCATTATGCAGCCATTTAAATGATTTCTATAAAGATTTTAAAATTCCATCAGAAAATAATTGTTTTAAAAGGTACTGTGAGGAGATAATTTATTTTGTGATTGCCACAATATTAAATATGCATAGAAAAAATAGTAACCATGGCATACATATTACCTTTTACTGAAAGGGCAGGCACTCAGCACTTTAAAGGGATCCTCCCATTTACCCTCACATCAAGACTATGAAGATATATATATATCTTTATTTTATATATATATACACAATATAATATGCATATGTTTATATTATATATATATATTTTTTTTATTTTTCCCCATTGAACAGGTGAGGAAACTAATACACAGGGTGATAAGTAATTTGCCCGAAGTGTTTGAGTTGAGTGAGGTAGTAGGGTTTGATAGCAGGTTAGCTCTTGCGTCCATGCTTTTACTCACTGTTAAAATGCAATGAAGTGTTTTCAGTTTTACAGGTTTGGGGGTCCATTTGTCTCCCTTATACTTTTTAATAATTTCCAAAGTTTCTACAAAGCATAACTTGTACTCATTATAAACCATCTCAATAATAGTAATATATATTTTTTAAATCCCAAAGTCAACCTGATTTTCTGTAGTAACGCTCAGATTTATATCTGGGGATTATCTGCACCCCCCATTTCCAGGTGTCTGGGGAGCCCCAGATCCCCCTTCCGGCTTGTTCACCGGGTCTTCCCGCGTTCCACCCCCAGTACCCGGATCCCCGTTCTTGAAGCACGCTTTCTCTGTGCGCCTGCGTCGTGGCAGACAGCTCCAGGGTGCAGTTGGCAAACTTTCAAGCGCCATGGGACCAGATTCTTCGGGACCCTCCCAGATGTCGCCCCGCGAGGCCCCGCAGACCTCTAGCGGCCGAGGGTTCAAGCTTCAGTCGCTGGCGGAGGCCCGGCACTCACGCGGGAACGCAGCGACCCTTTCCGAGAGTGAGGCGCCCGCGGGAAATCCCCGGGGCTCGCAGGGCGGGGGTCGGCCTCTGCCCATCAAGTCGCAGACGCCGGGAGGCCGCCGGGGTTCAGGGTGCAGGTCCGGGAACCAGCTCCGGGTCCCCGCGCTCCTGAAGCGGTGCCCCGTGGCGGTCGCGCGCGGAGCCCCGGAGGCACCAGCCCGCCTGCCGACCATTCTTTAATAGATTAGGACAATTGCTGAAAACAGTGATTTCAAGCTGCTGAGCACTGGCCCCTGAGAAAACCGAGTGTTAATTAAAGAGGGTTGCCCGGGGACAAAATTTACGGCTTGGGTCCTGGGGACAGTTATTTTGGGGTGAGTGTATTTTAAACCGGTTATCTCCTTGACAATTAATTCTCTCTCTGGTCGGGAGCAAGAGTGTGTGTGTGTTGGGGGGGGGGGAGGACTGTTTGTGCAGATGTGGGAGTCGAAGTCCCACTTTCGGGGAGCCAGGGTAGGGGTCGCCCTTCGGAAGCGCGGCGACTGGTCCTGAGGAGTAACCAAGTTTTCCGGGTCGCTGGGGCAAGTATTCGATTTGAGCCCGCCTCTCTCCTGTGAGCCATTCGCACGCGCCCATACAGCCTGGCAGCGGTGTCCTCTCCCTGGAACGAGCCCTTCGTGTCCCAGGTCCGCTTGGGGGGAAAACGGTGAACTCCCCAGATCCGCTTCCTTTTGTGGTTAATAAAAGGGCGCTTGTAGAGCCTGGGGAAAAAAAAATTTGCAAGTGCAAGTGAGTACCTTGCGTGTTTTGACGTCTGAAAACCTGACTCCAGAGAATCATTGAATCCTACGTTGCAAGTTTCAGTGTTTAATGAAGTTTAGGGGATGCGTATTACTTGTGTTTGTAAAATCTTTGCAACGCGCACCCCAAGTTTGTCGCCCCAGTACCGAAAGCAAGGCCGAGCGGGGGTGGGGAGGGTCTCCAGTCCCAGGCGCTGCTGCACTCGGGGCTTCTGCCCAGTTTCCTGCCTCGGAGTTGTCGTGTCCGCCCCAGCTCAGAGCAGTTTGTGCAATTTAGAAACCCGATAGGAGGCAGCAGCTGATCTCCCACCACCCTAAAAATAATCCGCTCCGGCGCCTTGCTTGCTTCGGCTAGGGGAGGAAAACTGCCTTCGGAGTAAGTGAGTCCGTATTTTTTACATAAATATGACTTAAACATTTTAAGAGTAACTGTAAACTGTCGATTTCGGCAACCAAAAGGCGCCCGCGCACTCTCGCAGCGCTGCCTTCAGGGTAGCTATTTCTAGGATTAAGGCACCGGGCCCCAGCCGGAGAAGAGAGGGCGTGGGGATCAGGTTTCCAGCTTTACTTACAAAACTCTGCCGGCTCCTACTTAAAACCGGCCGGGAATAATGCAAGGAGTTATTACTAATTTTTTTCTCTTAGACAATCTCCTGTATTGTTCATGAAGTAGTTTTGTGTCTGCTTAATTTTTGTTACTCTTTACTTTTTAGGAGTTCTGCGTCTGGGTTTGAAACTGACAATTAAGACAGTGTAGGAAGCTGGTGTTTTGAAGGTAGTGCAAGTGCACGAGTAGGGGGTTGAAGCATCAAGCGACCGCCCAAGGTATTTATTTTTTGCTTGTTTGTTCAATTTGGGATTAAAAAAATATCCTATCGGCGTGTCTGAATCTTATCTGTTGAGTACTATTTCCTTTAGTGTGCCATAGAACTTCAACGGGTGCATTGAGATCAGACACTAGATCAGAAGTCAGTGGTCATTTTTGCTAGTGATTTTCCTACTTGGATCTGTCATTCATAGACAGAGAAATAGACATCTTTTGCTTCCTATTTTGTGAATCACAGACTGAATGAAAAATTTCAAAGAAGTTATTACATGTGTTTCTTAAGTGATCTATTCCTGAAAATTCCCTAGATAATGGTAATGCCTTTACAATGTTATGTTTCTCTCTTATAACATATTGTTAATCTCAAATAACTAAAGAGTTACTTTGTATGTAAGAATGAAAGTTTTTAGAGTGCTTTTAGCATGTTTTCTTCAGGCGTTTCTAGCATGTTTAAGTTCTCGGAGGTTGCTACTTCATTAGAACTGACACTTTATTCTGTATGAGCAGGAAAGAGTGCTAGTTTTTACTTTAGCCTTCAACCAAATCTAAATTTTATAACTCTTGAGGGTGTGGAACTTTCTATAATGCATTTCAAAGAATAAAATACTGAGGGTGTGATTTTTGCCATGAAACCTTACGTTTGGGCATCAAGGATTATTTTCCTTCTATGCTTTCTGCTTTGCAGACCATCCCTATAATCAAAGTTTCACTTTTGACATTTGTCTTTAAGGTTCATTCAGTCAAGTTCTTCAACCCTGTCTGCTGTCCTAAACACTTGAACATCTTTCAGTGAGTTTATGCCTGTGGGAAGAAAAGTGTCATGTCTTCCTATCTGGCTTCTTTTCCCTCTCCCTCCTCCTGGATGCTTGGGCCTCTGTCAGTGCTTAGTTGAAGGAGACAGCTCCAGAAGGGGCCGGGCTCAGGGGCGTCACATGACAGAGTTTAGCCGGCTAGAGCAGCAATTTATACTGTTCCCAAAACGTCCCTAACTTAATCATGGTTCTGGGAAGGAAACCCTGAATGACAATAGGAGATTTAAAAATTAATTGAAAGTCCTGATTGAATAAAATGCCTTTGGCAAACACGATAATTATCAGCATAGCTACAAATTTACTCCTTCCCTCTTTTTGCCCATGTTGAGTTGTAAGATGGGCTGACTGTTAGAATGTGCCACATGTGTACTCTAGGTTTGGAGAAAGAAGCTAAGGGTCAGAGGGAAAAGGATGGAGGAGGAGGAGACAGAAACAAAGACCCGAGAGATGCAGTGAGAGGTAGTAAACAGGTTGGGAGCCCTAGGGCATTTGAGGTTAGAGATTATGGTAGAAGAAAGGAATCATTCTAAAGCTTTCAGTTTACTGATCTGAAGTATGCACCTTAGTATGATTATGTCATTGTGTTATTTCCCTGTCTGGTAGATCATAACCTTTATACCAAGAGCTACTGGGATTAGTGTAGTCGGATTTATATGGTCTAAGACCTCGGGTACTGTTTGTCATCTGCATTCTTGGATTCCTAGTGCCTAGCACATGGTCAGCATCAATACGTATTTTTACACTTAATGAATGGCCTAGAATCCCAGACATCAAGTACGTGGCTGGAAATGTTCTTTGACTTCTGCAGGTTGCTGTAGTTCTCTGATATTTTCTTTCCACCGTTATACACATTTATCCAGAGGTTACTTGATTGGTACATTTGAGGATTGATTAAACATACCAGGTAGGCAATGCTTATTATAGCTAATGAAGTATATGTTTTGCAAATCCAGATTATACTTTAGTATCTGGCTCAGTGATAATGATTAAATATCTATCTTATCTATCTATATATAAATGTGGCCAATTGGAATATTATCATTTTGGATAAAATTATAAAACTGGCAAAAGTAAAAATTATTTTCTGGTTCATTTTAGGAAACAGTTTATACATGTCTTTCAGTAAGAGTGGGTTCAAGTTTCTTTTTGTCATTTCTACTCAATAAAAGAGATAGTCTAAAAGATAAAAGAAAGTCTTAGAAATTCCGTTAATAGCTATTATTTTTCAGTTTGTTTTTTTTTCCTTTTTTCCCCATTTTATTGATGTACATCGCTGTATAAGTTTAAAGTGTACAGCATGATGGTTTGATTTAGATGTATTGTAATATGATTACCACACTAGGTTTAGTTAAGATCCATCACTTCATATACCTATGGTACAAAATACAAAACTTCCATTTTACTGTTACTTAAAAAATCTCAAGTCCGTTTTGATTATCTTATGAGGCTTGGAGCCTTAATAGTTGTTAAGAATTTGCCAAGTATATACCCTCATCTTGAGTTTTTTTTAATATGATTTTTTAAAGGAGAAAAGGTCTCAACTAGAGATCATATCAATGATCAGTAAAAGGGCTTACTGGAAACAATGTGTGAGAGGAATTCCATATAAGAATTTACAGATTGTAAACACAGGTTTTTTAACTAGTTGTTCTATTCATATAATGCTTTATAAAACTTTTGCTTGAAATTTGGTTTCTCCAATAGTTTACCTACAGTTGCCAATCTTTTCTGTATAACACTGGTTTTTTTTTCTAGGGAAAAATACTGTTCGTGACCATTGCTAAATCATTTCTCAATGAAAGGGAAGAGAGAAAAGGTACTAGTTTACTTATTTATACCTTTACCAACCTTTAATAATCTAACTCAGAATCCAGTGTGAAATAATGTGGAAAAGAGACCAAGTGCAGTGAGGTTAAAGTTTTAAACTGCTACGTCTTTTAATAACAATAGATAAAGATGTTTTTTAAAAAATAGGTTGGAGGCTGCATGCTGCAGGGGGAGAAACATAGTTTAAGTCAGACAGGTGGGTGTGGATCACCGCTACCCTACTGGTTGGCAAGTTACTGAACCTCAGAATGCTCTCCTGTAAAATACAGATAACTAACATTGCATGGCTATTCTAAAGACTAAAGATAGTGTATGCAAAGTGCCCAGAATTTGGCAGGTAGTAGGTAAATAGGTGGCATAATAAAAGAATTTTTCAGAAGGCTAAAACTCTTGAGAATTTCACAGTGGTATTTTGATGCAGACCCTTGCTCTTATATCATCTGTCTCAGGGCGGCAACAAGAGAAATGCATTTAAAATGTGAGTTGGAGTGTGTCACTCCTCTGATCAAATCCCCCCGCCCCCCTGCCACCCAGTGATTCCATTTCACTGAGTAGAAGCCAAAATCCCAACAATGGCTAGGAAAACCCTGGGTTACCTTGTCCTCAGCTTCCTCTCTAAATTTGCCTACTACTCTAATGTAATATTGATTTCCAATTAAAAAACATTTTTTTTTTGTTTCGAAACTTGATTAGGGTACATTTCATGTAAGAATATTCTCTGAATGTGGGACTTGAGTAATTTCATTAAATTATCATTTGAGTTATATTTAATTTATCTGAAGCACTTGATTTTAATAGTCTTCAGAGAAAGGCTGATTGCTGTTTGCCACCACATTGGCTTCTGTGTATTAGTATTCCTTTGTACAGTTAACAAAAAGTGGTGGTAAATTTTGTCCAGCTTAAGTTATTTGCTAATGCATTTTCAGTGAGAAAGGATGAGAAAGGATTTGATATTACATTATCTTGTAGTATCAATCAGTAGTTTCATTTTTTCTTTCTTTTTCTTGATATATCACCATTTTTGTTCCGTGAAATCATTTTAGTCACACACACACTTCGTTAAGGTACCATCATTGGTAGATATTAATAATTATATATTTTCCAAATTAAAATAAAATATTTTTCTCTGGAAAAAAAAGTTCTAAAGGAAGTGATTTATAGAATGTATAAGGCCTTTATAAGAAACTCTTAAATGACTTTGGCATACAGTTTCCTATTTCCTCAATTGCAAAAATAAAGGGGGTTAATTTTATAATAAAACCTCCTCCTTAGGGCTATGAGTGTATGAAAGGGAATTTAATAACGAGAGCCTCTTTCTCTTGTCTCTTCCTTTTAGAGTAAGTGATATAAGAAGAAATGAGCCTTTCATTCTGTGGTAACAACATTTCTTCATATAATATCTATGATGGTGTGTTACAAAATCCCTGCTTTGTGGATGCCCTCAACCTGGTCCCTCATGTCTTCCTGTTGTTTATCACTTTTCCAATATTGTTTATTGGTAAGTGATCTATTCTCCTATATTTCCTCACCTAATATTCATTTTAAGCCTTATTAATGGTTGAGATATGGTATAATGTTGACCTAATTTTCCCAACATGAAAACTGATTTGTATATCTGTGAGAAAAGAACAAGCAAGTTTTTTGTGCTTCCCAATTATTTATGTCTTGGCATATGATATTTTGTAGATAAAATAGAAGTCACATGTCTCCTTAGAAATGGACTTCAAGTAGCAGCAGCAGTGTTTTGAAAAGAGGGAAAGAGAATTATGTGGGATAGATCTAAAGCCTTTGTTGAGCACTTGTTTTGTGTTGGTGAAGAGAATGGAAAATGGGTAAAACATAGTACTTGCTTGGAATAGTCACTGGAACTGTCCAGTGAAACAGATGTATCAAAGTCAAGGGAAAAGATGACTATCCCACATTGTAAGCTCATTTGCAGGTACGGGAACAAATTATCCTGGGCATTAACTTGCTAGAACAACTAATTCATGGGGCCAGTGGGGATGATTGCACGGAGAGTGACATGTTGGGGGATCTGAGGACACAGAGCGTGCAAGTTCAAGTAAGAGTGATAAGGCTGTGTTCCAGGTAGAAAGAATACTTTATGGAAACTATTTGCAAAGGAGCTAAAAATACAGTTTTCTCTATTATTTTACAGTTTACATATACACAAAATCCAATTATTTAAAATAATTATGTATGACTTGTATAACTTTCCCAAAACAATCAAAATAGACCTTTAACTTAAAAATTTTTAAAAAATACATTTCACATATAAAAATGACAGAGACTAATATGATAAACATCTATTGAGCCTGTCACCACTCATCTTAAGGAATCTAATGGTAAGAACATAAGTGAATCCCTCTGTTACTGTTTCCTGAGCCTGTTACTCTTCCCACATCCGATGTCCCTGTCCATTCAAAAGAGATAACTACTCTCTGAATTTGGTGTTTAACTTTGCTCATAAAAATAAATCTGCTTATAAAAATAAATGAAAAAACCATCAGACTGCTTTTTTTAAGAAAACTAGCATATTTTAATGATCTGCTTCAAAAGAAGGTTTAAAAATAATTTGCACACTTTTATTTCTTCATTTAACAAATATTGATTGAGAGACTACTATGTACCTGGCATTGTAACGGTGATCAAAAAATTTCTGTTATAAGATATATCATATGCATAGGCCAACAAAACTCTTGGCACATTGTTATTCATGTTAAACAAATATATAGACATTAAATATAACTGTGCCAGAGTGGCCATATATAGAAACACGAGTTGTTGTTTATGTGGTTGGTATTATTTGTAGGACATTAACAATGCCCTTTGGCCAAAAGTAGACCATACTTTTTTAAATGCAATTTTACAGTTAATAATTTATTTTTAACATTCAGCTCACTTCTTGAGGGCAATTACTGGGACAGTCTTGTTTGCATCAGTAGCATTGAACATAGGCTGGTAAAGGGTATTTGAATCAAGTGGAGTTGGAGTGAACATTGTCAAAGGGGAATGGTGGAGGAAAATGTAGACTGTTCACCTCTAACATTGGCTACTTGAGTTAGTGAAAGATCATAAATAAATCTCAAAGAAGTATCAGGCATAAGGAAAGCTTGCTTTCAAGAGTTTACAGTGTAAATTCTAGTACAACATGTTATATGTAACTAGTCTTTCCATAATGAAGTTCATTTGGGAACAACTAAGACATGAATCAATTTTCTTTTCAAAGAATGCTTCAGGAGCCCCATTAGTCCTTACAGAAATTCCTTCCTGCAATATTTCGAGCACAAACCCCGATTCATTCTTGAAGTATGTGAGGCTTCTCTACAAACAAAACATTTCTTTGAGAAAATATCACTACCACTGTTGAATAGTGCTGGCCCAGTCATAGGTTATAATTTTTCTCACATGATACACATTTGATTGAGTTGACTCAACTAATGAGTTCTACATTTCATTACCAAATATGGCTCTTTTCGTTAATCCCCCCACAGATTCCATGTTTTGAAAGATTTTAGACACCAAATTGCTTTTATTAACATCATCATTAATTTGGTTTCCTCTTAAACGAATCAGGGACCTCTCAGTAAGAGCTCTGATGAGCATGAGATAACCATGTTGTCACCCAGAGTTGGCCTTATTCTTGAGCAGTGCAACAAATGTCAATGTGTTAACCTAGGCAGTCTTGTGAAAATTCATTGAAATGGAATTGTTATTTTTTTAACATAATGAAAAAAGACCAGGATTTTCATTGCTACCCTAGAAAGCACCTCTCATTCCTCTTTCAGGAATCTTCCATCCCCAAATGATATCACAATATGAATTATTTCCATGATTATAATTAATCCTTTTACTTTTCTATTTTTTTCAGGGTGGGGAAGTCAAAGCTCAAAAGTACAAATTCATCATAACACATGGCTTCATTTTCCTGGACATAACCTGAGATGGATTCTTACATTTGCTCTTCTCTTTGTGCATGTTTGTGAAATAGCAGAAGGCATTGTTTCTGACTCGTAAGTGATTCAACATAGTTAATACGATTACAACTATACTAGTGAGTATATTGATATGATTGGTACTTAAGAGCATACCAAGTCAGGCTTAACCCTTCAGTTATAACTCATTAGGAACAACAGCTGTCACTCATTTTATAGCAGTCCTGCTTATCTGTGATTTCATTTACCCATGATCAACCGAAGTCTGGAAGCAAATGGTCCTCCTTCTGATGATGGGTAGTCAGAAGGTCAGTCTACTAACGCTGCATCACAAGGCCTATGCCATTCACCTCACTTCATCTCATCATGTAGATATTTTTCTCATCTAACATCATCACAAAAAGAAAGGTGAATACAGTACAATAAATTATCTTGAGAGAGAGGAAGTCACATAACTCTTACTACAATATATTGTTGTAATTATTCTATTTTATTATTATCAGTTGTTAATCTCTTACAGTGTCTAATCTATACATTAAACTTTATCATAGGTATGTATGTATAAGAAAAACATAGTATAGGGGCGCCTGGGTGGCTCAGTCGTTAAGCGTCTGCCTTCGGCTCAGGTCATGATCCCAGGGTCCTGGAATC